ACATCCATGGGGCCCATGCTCACCCCACAGCGCTGAGTGTTCCCGTGAGGACCCGTGCCCCGTGTGCAGCTGGGCACGTCCGTCCACACACGTGCAGCGAGTTCTGGTAAAGCGGGGCTACTGATATAAACATCTGGTTCTCTCTTAAAAACGATCGGGAACGGCCCCAAACTGCTGAATCTGAGCAGAAAGACAGGATGGGGCTCCCCGGTTGCAGGAGGGCCAGCCCCGCTGACGACTGTGCTGGGCCGGCGAGAGGTCCCAGTTCTCAAGGGAACCACAGCCAGGAGGCCGCCTGGACCTGGAACAGCCTCCGCTCTGCAGACAAGACGCGTGGACCCAGAGGGGTCCTGGGCCACCGCCCCCGGCCGCAAGCCTGAGCGTGGCCAACACCGAGTGCACTTCCTTGGGCGCACATCCACACACGCTGACCGGCCGGCGGACGGGGCGCAAGCGCGGACAACCCAGCTGAACAACGCCTGGGCGGAACTGAGCGCTGAAGTGAGGGGCATCTGGAGACGGTGGTCTGCGCTTCGACCCGGCAGACGGAGCCACTTATTCTCCGGTGATCACGAAAGGAGCTCGAGTACACCAGGCAATCACTCCTCCGCAAAAAGGGTGCCCAAAGTCGGGACCTGCAAAGTGCTTCCTCTGACGTCTAAACGGTTTGCAGGGGCCAGGCCGCCGCACGTGCATCACCTCCGGAGAGGTGCGGCAAGAAGGGTCCAGTGGGCACGGTCCCCCGTGCTCAGGTGACACAGAGGCTGCCAGGTGTGGAGGGTGGACCGCACCCCAGCAGAGCACGCTGGACCCGGACCGCGTGATGGCAGTGGAGGTGAGGCGGCCGGCCCCCCCCCAGCTTCTCCACGTCTTTTCTGGGCTTCAAGGCATCTTCCGGGAAACATCTTTCATGGTGAGAAAAACCATTTACTTGAAGTTCAGTGATTTATTTCATGTCGTGTCTGTTTCTCTCTCTTAAACACGGGTGAGGTGACATACGAGCTCCTCAAATTACTGATACGCACAACAGCCGGGACGGAATCTCTAGGGCGTGAAGATCCCAGAGATTACACACTGTGCAGCTGCACGGACCTGACTCTCTGGAAACGTCGGGCCTGGGGGACGAGAACGGATCGGGGTGCGGGAGGGGTGACCACAAGAGGCAGGACGAGGGAGCCTCGTGCCGACCCACACGGTCTGCACGTTGACTGCGGTGGCACTCACACGGAGGCACCTGCGTGACGTAGGGCGGAGAACCGCCTGCGTGCCAACATCAGTGTCCCGGTTTCAGCGCTGTGCTGTCACTACGGGGACTGACGCAGTGAAGAAAATGGGGGCAAGGCGCTCGGGCCTGCTCTGTATGGCCTTGTCAACTTCCTGTAAATCCATAGTTATTTTTAAAATTAAAAACAAAAGCACGTGCAAATGGGACCTGCCAAAAAACCCCCGTGCATCAGAAGACACAACAGAGGGGAAGGCAGCCTGCAGAGAGGGAGAACGTGCTATGAATCGCGCTTCTGAAAGGAGTCAAGCACCTTAACCCTGAAGAACTCCCACAAGTCAACCACAAAAAGAAGCCAATCACAAAAGTGGGCAGAGGCCCCGAGTACACGTCTCCGAAGGCGAGATGCATATGGCCAGTGAGCCCAGGACAATGTGCTCGACGTCTCCAGAGCCATGCACATCCAAACCACCAGATGCCACCTCACACCTGTCAGAACGGCCACCACCAAAGCCCGGAGTCGTGAATGTGGCAGGGGTGCCCAGGAGCCCGAGCCGTGTGTGCCGGGGTCGGGGGCGTGATGGTGCGGCGGCCGCGGCACACAGCCTGGTGGCTCCTCGGACAATTCAGCACAAGATGACCACGTGACCCAGCAACCCCACCTTGGGGGTGCACTGTAGAGCTGGAAGCAGGCACCTGAAGAGATCCTTGCACACCCCACTCACGGAAGCATGATCAGGCCACGGGGCAGGGGGCTGGGGGGAAACCCAAGTGTCTCTTGACGGATGAACGGATAAATCCACTGGGGTCCACATGTGCAAAAGAAGACAGTCTGGCCTCGAAAAGGAAGTAGATTCTGCAATCTGCTACGACGCGGAGGAACCTTAGGGATGTTATGCTGAGAGACGGCAGCTGGCCACGCAAGACAGACGCTGTGACTGCACGTACACCACAGCGCGGTTCCTACTCGGGTCTACAAAGACGGGAAGTAGAAAAGTGGGCGCCAGGCTGGGGAGGGGCTGGGGCGCCAGTGTTTCAGTTGTGCAAGGCGGGCGAGTTCCCTGACGGGCAGTGGGGACAATTGCACAACATGAATGCATCCGACACCACTGAACCGTACCCTAAAGACTGGTTAAGGTGCCAAGTTCTGTCGTACGTTTTTACTCAAACATAAAGCAAAAGTTTAGAAGCAACTTATTGGGGCGCCCGGGTGGCTCAGTCAGTTAAGTGTCCGACTTTGGCTCAGGTCATGACCTTGCAGTCTGTGAGTTCAAGCCCTGCATCAGGCTCTGGGCTGACAGCTCGGAGCCTGGAGCCTGTTTCGGATTCTGTGTCTCCCTCTCTCTCTGCCCCTCCGCCACTCATGCACTGTCTCCATCTCTCTCAAAAATATGCAAACGTTAAAAAAAATTTTTTTTAATTAAAAAAAAAAATCAAAACTTACAAGCTGTCTCTTGTTCTATTCGACCGTGCCGCATTCTGACAGCCGCCAAGGTCCATGCTCCACACTGAGGACAGGGCCGCAGCGGCCAGGGGCACACAGGCAAGCAGACAGGCGCCTGTAAACCGAGCGCAAACCCGAGGGAGCCTGTGAGAACCTGGCACGCTGGGTCAGGTGGGCGAGGAGGCCGGCAGGCTGAGCCCCATCGAGAAGGAGTGAGCCGTGCAGAGGGGGCAGGGGACGGTGGGCGGAATCGTCTGGGACGGGAACGCCACCATGGCCTCTGCCCGGGAGGCTTCCCCGGACGTTCTGTCTAGGCCTGGGCCTGGTCTTGGCCCTGAGCTCTCCAGCCTGCCTCCTTGCTGACGACAGGGGTCTGTCCCACCCATGCTGACCCTGCCTGAGTGGTACTAAAGACAGGAGGGACACCCATCTGGGGAGCCCTCACGGGAGGGCAGTGGGGCAACCAGCCTGGACCCTCCAAGGTGGGGCTGGGCAGACAGAAAGGGAGGACAGGACACAGACGCCAAGGCAGAGGAACTTCCAGGATGGAATGACGAGGTGCTAGAAACCACCGAGGAGAAAGACGGGGGGCTTGCTTATGTCCAGCACTCAAGGGGCTGGGGAGGACGACGGATGAGCCGCCCGGGCGGATTCCCCGAACACCCCGCCCTGGCCCTTGGCGTTCCCCGACTGTGGTCTGCGGCTCCAAGGTCACCAGGGAAGACCCGGAGGTAACCCAGCTTCCAGAGAAGATCCCTGGAATCGATTCTAAACACTAACCTGACAGTGCTACCCGCCTCCTGACCCTAAGGTGTCCCAGGCAGATCTTCCCAAAGCTGAGATCCCTGGAAATGTCCTGCATTTACAAACCCTGCAGACACCCCACCCCCACCGCTGAAGCATCTGCTTCTGCCTCAGACTTCCCGCAGAAGTTCTCCAAATGCTCCGCTCCCCGCCACCCACACACGTAACCATGACTGGCTGACCACACCCTCTTCTTGTCCCAGCAGCACAACGGCAGTGACTCGCTGATAAGTCACCATCACCCCACACTCCGGCCCCACGGGCCCAGGGGCCTGCCCAAGGGGACAGCATCCCACAGGTGGCTCAGAGCAGCCTGCTTCCTTCCAGGCAGGCGGCTGAGCTCAGGAGGGTCGCCAGTCCACCCTGCCCACCGTGCTTGCTCCCCACGGGGCACTCAGCAGCCTGGCAGGGAGGCCACCCGGCAGGCATTGCCCAGAACAGCTTCTTCAGGAGCGGAGCAGGCTACGCCCACGCCGCGGTGGCACCACCACCACCACCACCACCACGCGACTCTGGACACAATGCAACAAACCCCAGAGGGCCAGTAGGTGGCCAAGACAAGCTCCCGCGTCTGATTCACTAGAACATTCCTGCAGGGGGGTTGCTGGCCTGGGATGTCATTTTAGTCCAAATGGACCCGGGACTGAGAGCAGCACCAGGGCGCCCCCGAGCCTAACGATGAGCTTGGCCTGCGGGCCCAGAGCAGACCCTCCCACCAAAAGGCCAGCGTCGAGGAATCCCGTCGGCCTCCAGCGGAGTCACCCCGTGAACGACAACCCAAGGACAGTCACGTTCGTGCTGCCGTTCCCAACGCGAAGACTATGAACAGCGGCTACCGCTGGCTGGCTGGGACGGGCACAGCGCTGAGCGCAGCACGCACACGGACCTTTCTGTGGGCGGGGACGCTGAGGCAGAGGAGGCTGCGGGGCTCGCCTCCCGGGGTGCGGAGCGACACTTCCAGCTCAAATGCCTACAGTCTCCCGCGTGCCAGTCCACACACAGCGGGCTACGACCCTTTCAGGCTGGAACGGCCAGCTTCCTGCAGCGCTCTCCGCAAGATAGAGCCAAATTCAAAGCCAGCAGCTGTCCCCTGCAGGTCCCACCCGCCTCTCTCCCCACTCCCACCTACTGTCCAAACTCGCACAGGATCCCAAACACACCCTTCATCCTTTCCCAGCCACCGGCCTGCCTGAGGGTCTCACACTCTTCAAGAATGGAACCAGGGGCGCCTGGGTGGCCCAGTCGGTTGAGCGGCCGACTTCGGCTCAGGTCACGATCTCGCGGTCCGTGAGTCTGAGCCCCGCGTCGGGCTCTGTGCTGACAGCTCAGAGCCTGGAGCCTGTTTCCGATTCTGTGCCTCCCTCTCTCTGACCCTCCCCCGTTCATGCTCTGTCTCTCCCTGTATCAAAAATAAATAAACGTCAAAAAAAAAAAATTTAAAAAAAGAATGGAACCAACTGTGACCTCTTCTGTCTCTGGGGCCCCTCACGGTCTTCCCGGAGCAGGAGGCCTGTGTCTCCGTGAGCCTGCAGCCGGTCGGAAGGAAGCTGCTTCGTGCGCTTCAGTGTCCCAGGCACACTGCACGCAGCCGGGCACTGAGTACGTGCAGGAGAAACTTTTTTCTTAATTGTTTAAGAAAGGCTAGTCTGTTACTACCTAACACAGATGAACAAAGAGCTTTGCATTTTTTAAGGGAATACATTTTTTTTTTAAGGAAAGATTTCAAAGAGCTCTTAAAAAAAGAAAATGAAACAAAACAAAAACCATAAAAGCCAACTCCTGTGTCTATTTGCAAAGAGAAACGAGGAACCCCAGGGCACCTGGGTGGCTCAGTGAGTTAAGCACTTGACTTGGGCTCAGGTCATGATCTCACAGTTCCTGGGTTCTAGCCCCACGTCGGGCTCTGGGCTGACAGCTCGGAGCCTGGAGCCTGCTTTGGATTCTGTGTCTCCCTCTCTCTCTGCCCCTCCCCCACTCGTTCTCTCTCTCTCTCTCTCTCTCTCTCTCTCTGTCTCTCTCTCTCTGTCTCTCTCTCTCTGTCTCTCACTAATAAATAGAAACGTTAAAAAAAAAAGAGAGAGAGAAGTGGGAAACCCCAGCACGTTCACTCTCAAGATAAACCCAAATTCCACCCCAAAGTTTCGAATTTCTTTCATTAAAGCCAGTTTGATGCTTCTGTTTTGTAGGCCTCGGGTTACTTTCTTTTAGAAGAGGAAAAAATAATGTTCCAAGAAGAAAATGACAAAGCACCCTTATGCGTCCCCCCCCCCCCATGAGCCACTTCAGATCACTTCTCATATAGACACAGAAAGCATTTCAACGTTAAGATTTCACTCAAAGAGCAGACGTGGGCTTTGGCTGTCCGATGCCTCGGGGGGGGGGGGGCGGTACAAAGATAAGCTCTAGAGAAACAGCCTGAGGCTTGGGTCCTCTCTCATCTTTAAACACTGTCCAAACGTTTAAAGGACAGATCTAGACCAGGAGGAGAAAAACTGAAAAATAAACGCAAAAAACAGTAAGAGCAAGCAATGGATAAAAAGAATCCAAGAACTCCAAATCAACACCACACGCAATTCATTAAACACCTCCACTGCATCGCCGATGTGCTGACCACCCCGCAACCACCCTGACTCGCTCCCAGCGTCTGTGTGGACGCCCCAGTTTCAATTAATTGCTAAGGGCACCTGGGTGGAAACACTCGTCCTTCCTAAGATCGCCCCGTACTGGTGCCTGCAGAAAAGGGGGGCCGGCAGACCTCCCCACCGCCAGAAAACACTGTGCAAGCGGAAGCTCGTGGAGCCGGGCCGGCCCCTCGAACCCCACTAGTCACCCGGCCCAGAGCTTCCCTCCCAAGACTCCAGAACCCAGGGCCCAGGTTCCGGCCAGCGCTGCCATTTGCCAAAACGGCCCCGGGGCACGTTCCGGAACTAGTCGAGCCTCAGCTGCCTCCTCTCCGGCAGGGGGATGGTCAGAGCACCGATGCGCCCGCCAGCACCCGCCGGGCACCGGGCCACCGCCGACCCGGCGACCCCTCGCCCGCCAGAGCCGCTGACCCGCGAGACGGAGCGGCCGGGAAGGCGTAGCCCGAGGCCGCCCGGGGCGCACCCGCCCGGCTCCCGGCTCCCGGCGGCGGGGGGCCTGAGGAGCGGGCCCGGGGCTCTCCCGGCGGAAGGGACTCACCTGACGGGCGGCCGCGGGCCCGGCCCCGTTCAGCAGCGGCGTGCCCTCGCCGGCTGGCGCCCCGGGCCGCGCCGTCCTCCGCAGCAGGGGCGCCGCCTCGTCGTCGTCCAGGTCGCGGCCGGACCACGACACCTTCTTGGACACGTTGGCCATGGCCAGCAGCGGCCGAACCCGCCCGGGAAGCGCGGCGGCCGAGTGTTTGTTCTCGTGACCCGCGCCGCGGCCACGTGACCGGCGAGGCCAGCCCCACGTGATGCGCGACGGCGGCCGCGCAGGGGCGCGCGCGCGGGGCCTTCTGGGAGTTGTAGTCCCGCGCCCGGCGCCGTCCTGGGTGGTGGGGGCTCCGCGGCAGCTGGGGTCGACGAGAGGGGCGCCGCCCGCTCGGGCGCTTGGGTGACCGACCGGAGTCCGGCTTCCGAGAACGGGTCACGGCAGGAATGGAGGGGAGGGCCGGCGTCCGCGCGGACGAGACCAGAGGAAAGGGGAGGAGGGCAGGTGGCCGCCGACCAGTAGCGCGGAAGGACGGGTGGACACGTGGCCGCCGGGTTGCCGGGGAGTGAGCGGTCGCCGGCGCCCGTGAGACGCGTGGCCCCTGTGGCATTGCTGCAGAATCACGGTGGGGAATCACGCACACGCAGACTGGGGGACATCTGCTAAACTGCTGGGCAGCTCTGTTCCACAAAGGGCTGGGACCGCCCTGTGTGACACGGGATTGACGCCACCGGGCAGACTGAGGCTCCCGATGGCCCCTGCGCTGGGTGGTAGGATAGTCTGGTTCAGCGCTCAAGGCTGAGCATTGTCTTGGAGTCACCGCAGGGAAGGTCCTTGTTCTCGAGACACACGACCTATACAGGTGGATGGCCTGGTCATCATAATGACAGGTGGCCACCGACAGGGAGGACAAAATGTGACAGAATGTTGACTCGGTCAGTCTAGGCCAAGCACTTATGATGGTGCAATGTATTCCTCTTACAACTTTTGTATTTTAGGTTTGAAACTTTTCAAAAGAAAAAGGTGTAACAAGTGTGTTAGAGGGGCGCCTGGGTGGCTCAGTCAGTTAAGCGACTGAAGTCGGTTCAGGTTATGATCTCATGGTTCGTGAGTTTGAGCCCCACATCGGTTCCGTGCTCGGAGCCTGGAGCCTGCTTAGGATTCTGGGTCTCCCTCTCTGTCTGCCCCTTCCCTGCTCTCGCTCTCTCTCTCAAAAATAAATACACATTAAAAAAACAAACAAACAACTTTAAAAAGTGTGTTAGAGGCTCTGAGGCTGAGAAGGTAACAGAGCCCCTCCCCCGAATAACTCAAAATCAAAACTAAAACCAAACTAACAGGAAAGAAATCCCCAACTGGGTTTTAAATTTTCCCCACAGTTACTGTGCAATGCTCTTCTGGAAATTCTAAGAATAACATTCTTTCGAAAGAGGTGTTTTGTCATTAGCGTCTTAGGGCTTTGCCCTTTCTGGTGGTGGATAAGAGCGGCATGGTGGCCTCCAGTTTGTGGCCCAGCGCACGGAGGCTGGCACACACTGGCCCAGAGGAGCAGGCAGGGTTGGGCTGGGTGCATTTGACCGAGTGGAGTGGATGATGGGGTCCAGGCCAGCAGAAGTGCTGAGCTGAGTGATAGGGAGGTGAGAACCGATGGGGGATGAAGGGATCCTGCTGGAGGTGGGGGGCATCCCTGTCGCCAAGCAGGGTCAGGCTGGTCCTAAAGGCCAACACTGTCAGACGAAGGGCCTGGACTTGTGCTTCTGCGGGACCAGTGGCCTTTGCAGAGGATAGATGGCCAGGTGGGGAAGAGAGAAACCAGCCCCAGCTTCCTATCAGGCCCTGGTCCCCGCAACATAAGGAGGACACCTGGGTCGTCTTGTCCTCTTTACCCAGAAACACGGCAGACTCAGGTCATAGCTGGGATTCGACAGATCATGCTTTAAAAAGCACAGGGGACTTTGTCACTGGCCCCATGGGGATGGCCCCATTCAGACTGCCTTGCTCCAAACCCTGGATGGCTTCCCTTGTCTCAAATACTCACTTACCAGAACCCCCCCCTGCCCCCGCCGCTGGGTCAGCCCTGACTGCAAGTCCTTCCCCAGGCCGCTGTACCCTCTTGGGATCCCCTCTCCCACGAAGTTTCCTGAATGTGGATGTGAGAGCCCACGGCGATGTTGTCTTTGCCAAATCCCTGTGGTTTAGGGTTCATGGACTCGTAGGGGTGCTGCTGTGAGCTACCTGGACCCCGGGGTGTTATAAGCACCCAAGGGGGGGGGGACACTCAGAAGTAACACCCTGAGTGGTCTTTTTATGCAGGGGGCCCAGCTGTCTCTGAAGAAATACTGCTCAGATTACCAGTCTTCCCTAAAGAAAGATGTTCTTTCTCCTTCCTTAATAGCACAGTGGGACAGAGCGAGAGCTCCAGAAAGAGCCCGAGGCGCCTGGGAAGGAAGAGAAGGCACAGCTCTCCCTGAAGGTGTGGTGCCCTGGGGAAGTCCCAGAGGAAGCAGAGCCCAGTGATTCAGGGGGCATTCACGTGGCCACCCGGTGGGGGGGGGGGTTCAGTTCCAGACCCCCTCCTCAGACCTTGACTCACGGACAGGTGGTGTAGGGGGAGGTGCCTGGCTGGGTCTGAGCGGAAGGCCCCAGATTGCTGGGGCCACAGCTCTGCGGAGAGTGAGGGAGTCACCTGTCCCACGGGGCAGCTGCAGGGCTGAAACCAGGGTCCCTCGAGGCTGGGCTGGTGCGGGCTTGGGGGCCTCTCCAGTTTGCTTTCTCATTTTTATTTAAATTTCGTTAATGTTTGTTCATTTTTGAGAAAGAGAGACAGAGACAGAGTGAGAGTGGGGGAGGGGCAGAGAGAGAGAGGGAGACACAATCCGAAGCAGGCTCCCGGAGCTCGGAGCCCGATGCCGGGCTCGAACTCACGAACGGATCACAACCTGAGCCGAACTTGGATGCTTAACCGCTGAGCCACCAGGAGCCCCTTCTCACTTTTAAAGTGGGGCAGTTCTCAGGATGCCTGGGTGGCTCAGTCGGTAGAGTGTGCAACTCTTGACCTCAGGGTTGTGAGTTTGAGCCCCATGTTGGGTGTGGGCATTACTTAAAAATAAAATCTTTAGGGGCGCCTGGGTGGCTCAGTCAGTTGAGCGTCCGACTCCGGCTCAGGTTATGATGTCACGCTCCATGAGTTCGAGCCCCGTATCGGACTCTGTGCTGAGAGCTGGGAGCCCGGAGCTGCTTCGGATTCTGTGTCTCCCTCTCTCTCTGCCCCTCCCCCACTCACGCTCTGTCTCTCACTAATAAATAAACGTAAAAGAAAAATTTTTTTAAATAAAATCTTTAAAAAATAAATAAAACTCAACGGGGGGAGTGCTGAGAACCCAGCCCGTTTCCAAACTCCGTGATTCCACACCTCTCCCACGTGGGGCAGGGTGGGGGGGAGGGGGCGACTGCCCTGTTCTGTCTACCCTGACTCCTCCCTGATTCTGTGAGCCTGGGTTTGGCTCCTCCTTGGTTTGGGCATCTCCACCCCCGGAGGGGTTAATGTCCATCACCCTACGATGTCAACACAGTAAACCCCGCCCCACCATGTGGCCCCGAAAACCTCCTCCCGGGTGCCCACTCGAGGGAACGGGAGCGCACGGGGACTCACGTGACAATGCCCGGAGCAGCTTTATTCGCTGAAGCCGAAGCCTGGACACAACCCCAGTGCCCATCAGCTGGTGGGGGCGGGCACAGCAGAGGACGGGTGCCTGACGTGCTGCCTCGTGGGCGAGGCCGGGGGGCTCAGCGGCAGGGGCAGGCACGGAGTGGGATTCCATCACGAGAGATGTCCGACGTCCAGGCAGGTCGGCCGAGACGGGGAGCCGCTCCGTGGTCGCGGGGGCTGGGGCGGCAGGAGCGACCACGACCAGGCATGGTTTGCGGGTGAGGGGCCGTGGAAACCCCCCCAAAGTGGAACGCAGTGACGGTTGCCCAGCTCGGTAAACTCGCTGATCGTCTTTGAACTGCGCCCGTGACACGGGTGAACTTGGTGACACGCGCTCCGGTGAGGGTCCGGCGAGGCTGCCGTTCGTTCCTGAATAGCCTGCTCCCTTTGTGGGTCCCCCGTCCCGACGGCTCTGGCAGCCTCTCCAGCCACCACAGCACCTTAAGGGAACCCCCAGGGCACCCGGCATAGGGCAGTGGAGCCCTGGGGCAGGAAATGGATCCCTGGTCCTCTCCACGAGGGACACGGGAGCAGGGACAGCCCAGAAGGACTCTTCCATAAGCCGCCTTAGAGAGGCCCACGGTAGTTCAAATGCACCCACACTGTTTCCAGGAAAACGGGGTTCTCCATCGGCAGCCCCAGCCCAGAGAGTCTCCACTGGAGTCCTGCGCTCCCAGCTGGCAGGTGGGGCCCAGCTGGCATGGTGTCACAGCCCATTCTGTCCCTGCCTGCCATCCTCCCACAGCCCCGCTCTGCCCAGTGGCCCGCCCCCCCCCTCCCTCCACGCTGCCCTGTCCCCTCCCCAGTCCGGGAGGGGGCCCTCTACGGGGGTGTGCTGGGGCCGGGGGACAGGTGGCTGGTGCTGCTCAGGCTGTCCCCGTCCAGCCCGAGAACAAAGCCTCAGGGACACAGCGCCAGGCAGCTGCAGTTCACCCTCTGCACGAATCCGCCCAGCCGGTGGGCGTCGTCCAGCGTGAGGATAGCGCCCGGAGGGAGCCCCCTCCCAGTGGCGAGGCTTGCCACCTCCCCGGGGACCAGCGCCCGGTCCCATATGGCCAGGCCCGCCACGCTCCCCACGAAGGCCTCGGAGCTGTCGAACCCACCCCCCACGCTGTCTTGCTCCTGGCCCAGCACAAGGGACCCCCCTGGAGGGATCTCGTAGCCCTCCCTGAAGCGGGAGCCAGTGGCCACTAGCCTGCGGTCTACGTGGAGCCGGTACCTGCCCAGCGTGGACGTCCAGATGACACACACGTGGTGCCACCGGCCGTCCAGCAGTGGCTGCAGGGGCAGCTCCCTGAAGGCCGGGTCTCCGATCACGAAGTGGACAGAGCCAGGGACCAGGGAGTCCCTGCCGTGCAGCACGAGCTTGTTGTCATTCTCCTCGGTGGCGTAGGAGAGCAGGGTGCCCAGGTGGCCCGAGGCCACGCGGACCCAGCTGCAGACAGACAGGGCCCGCAGGCCTGCGGGGAAGCCGGGACTCAGGAAGGCGACGTTCTGGGTGGAGGCGTTGGGGAAGACGAGCACGGGGCCCACGTTGCAGGCTGGGGACAGACGGGAGAGTCAGCCCGGGCACCAGGGGGCTGCAGAAGCACCCATGACCGCGGGCACTGCCCTTGCTGTGGGGCACAGGCCACAGACCCCGTGGCCGACCTGCCTCAAGCAGTAACTGCGAGGGTGGCGGTGCCCGGCCCTGTTGGTCCTTGCGGCCGAACCACCAGCCTGTCTCGCAGCCGGGGACACCGGGAGCTGGGGCAGTCACACAACTGGGCAGAATTAACCCCCCCCCCCCGGGGCTGCTGTAAGGGAGCCCCACAACTTAGAGGCTCAAAACCACACAAATTCAGGGTCTTCCGGGTCTGCAGGTTGGAGGTCAAAAGCCAGACATGGGTCTCTCTCCCGGACTCAACTCACAGCGTGGGCAGCCGTGGTTCCTTTGCTGCCCTTCCAGTCTAGCGATGCCCCCACTCCGTGGCTCACGGCCCCTCCCGTACATCCGTCTAAACTTTGCCCCTGGGGTCACACCTCCTTCTCCGATCCTGTCCTTCCTGCCTCCCCTAGAAGGGATAATCCCGGATCCCCTCCCGTCTAAGGATGCGTCATCGCAGACGGAAGTTCCCCTTGCTGTGTGAGGTGACGCATCCACAGGGCCCAGGGATCAGGACTTGAACATCTTTGGGGTCATTGCCCTTCAGGTCTGCCTGACCAAGGGTCCATGGGGGGGTGCGCGGTGGGCCCGGGGCAGCTGTACCTGCTCCGAGGTCCCGATTGGCAGGCTGCGGACCTACATCTCTAACTCGCTGGCCCACTGGACTCAAGAACGAAGGGGCGTTTACCCCGGGCGGCACCCCAGTCCTGTGTGCCCATCTGTCCCTAACGCCCAGGCTGCGGGGGATCCGCAGACAGACCATCCCCTGCACGGCCCCCTCCTTCCCGCCAGCAGGTGCGACTGTGAGGCCAGTGTCCTCTCCGCACAGCTCTGGGGAGAAGGCTGTTCAGAGGGGACCGGAGGCCCAAGGAGGCACCAGCGGGGGAAGGGCGGGCCATGGTACTTACCCTCTCCTGGTCTCTCGGGCGGCCGGGTCCGCCGGCTGCCTGGGCCTGGTGGCTCCCGCGTCCCCTGGAGACGGCCGGCGAAGTCCTGAGGTGGGTCCCCGGGCTCAGGCGGAGCTCTGAGCGCCTGCCCGCCCCTCTGCAGCTTCGGGGAGCCTGGGCTTGGCAGCCCCAGCTGGGGCAGGGGCAGGGGCGGGGGCGGGGGCAGGGCCGAAGTCGGCCCCGGGGCCACGGCGCCAGGACCGGCCACCTGCAGCCGTCCCTCGAGAGCAGCCAGCCTGGCGCCCTGGCTCTGCACCAGGTGCGTGAGGCCGGCCACCGTGTCCTGTAGGGCCCGCAGGGCCAGGCCCAGGCCGGCGAGGCCGTCCCCCTGTGCCTCCCGCTCCTTCTCCGCCTGGGCCAGCTGCCTGTCCCTGTCACTCAGGGAGGAGTCCAAGGCCAGCAGCCTGGAGTCCAGCTTCCGGCTCCTGCGCTGTGACTTCTGCACCCAGGTCTTGAGGCGGCCCAGGTCGCCCTGCACGGCGGCCTGTGACCGGTTCACGGCCAGGGCCACGGCCTGGGTCTCTAGGGCCAGGCTCTGGAACCGAGTGTCAATGTCGTAGGACAGGTTGTAGTTGCTGGCAAGGCCCCGCAGGTGTGTGAGGGTCACCTCTTGGAGCCTCCGAAACTAGAGAGAGGACACACAGCCATCACAAGGGCCGAGGGCCGGGGAGGACGCGGCACATGACTTCCCCCTCGCGCGTCTGGGCGCCTACCGAGCCCTGGCCGTGCTCCGCACTGATGTGATCCCCAGGCCGCTGCTGAGGGGTGGGCCGATTACCGCGGCCCCGGGGCGGCCGAGCTCAGAGATGCGGGTGACCAACCCGAGGGCCCCGGGCTGCACTAGGTGGGGCGAGGGCTTCGGGCTCCCATGCCCCCTCCGCCCCACATCCCCCAGCCCTGTGACTCTCAGGGTCCTGCCCCCCCGTGACCCTGCGCCCCTCCAGCTGCACCCCCCAGGGCTCCCCATGCCCCCTCCCAGCCCGATGCCCACCCAGTCCCATGGTCACTTGGCTTATCTTCATAACAGAGCCTAAGAAACCTTCTGTGCTGCTTTCCAACCACAGGTGACAATAGCATCGGTTGAACGGAAGAACCGAGGACTCCACGTTTGGGTCCCCAGAGCGCCGACAACTTCCCACTCTGTTTCTGTGACACCATCAACTGCCCCGCGTAACTGGGCACCCTTACCTGCTCTTCTAGTCTGCGGAGCCTCTCGAAAAATGGTTTTCTTTGCACTGCAGGGCCGGCTTCCTGCGACAGAACCCCATGCAGATACACAGGCACAAAAATAAGGAAGACAGACAGGGTCGTCCGCGGGCCGCCCATCCCGAGGACGCGCACAGGACGAGGCCGTCTGCTGTGTGCTCCTTCGCCACCCACAGCCCTGCTCGAGTGCCACAGGAGCGAGCTTCCTCCCTCCACCACCTTCGTGCAAAGCATCTGTCCGCCAGCCGGCGAGCTCTGGGGAGATGGTCACGTGTCCCAAGGACACGAGCTTAAAAACAGAGGCAAACAGTTTCTCCAGAAAATAATTCTTCTGGGTGAGAGCCCTGGCCTGGCTGGCTCAGAGGCAGACGGAGGTGATGGCTTTAGCAGGGACGCACGGACTCGTGTTCCCACCAAAGAGAAGCGGAAACAGGACAGGGCCCAGCCAGGGCCAGGGAGCCCCCGGGGCCAGGTCTGCGGTGGGGTCCAGCGTGCTAGTCCCATGAGGCCCATCTCTCTCCTCTGGATAAGGCAGAGGACGGGGTTGGGAGACGTCTTAACTTATTTTGGGGTGTAGCTTGCGTGGTGGGCTGCATGGTGGTCCCTGAAACGGTAGGTCTGAGTCCTAACTCTGTGAATGGCCTTGTGCCTGTGAATGGGAGTCTGTATGGAAAAAAGACCCTTGCGGGTGTCATTAAGGGTCTGGCGATGAGCCCATGCTGAATTAGGGTGTCCTTAGAAGAGACAGAAGAGGTGAATACACGGGGGGGGGGGAGGCCATGGGAAGACGGAGGCAGAGACTGGGGTGACGTGGCCACCAGGAGAGCCAGGGGCCCGACGAGGCAGGAAGGGTCCTCCCCCTGGAGCATTGAGGACCTTGACCTTGGACCTCCATCGGTTACTGGCCATAGGCTGCTGCCCAGGACGCTGCCGCACTTCCGGCCCTCTGGGGCTCCCCCTGCTCCACCCTCCACCTATCACTCTCCCAGGCCACGTTGGATCCTTGCTCCTGCTGCTGTCTCTGTGCCTTGTGTTCCCCTGGCCCTGGGCTCCTTCACCTTTGTCATTTTGCTGCCATCGAAGGGGCACCTGGGGGGCAGAGGAGCCATGCATGTCTGAGCACAGCCGCGTGTTGAACTGGCCGTGCTTTTATCCTGCTTCCTCCCTGCATCTCGGTCCCTACAGCTGGCCCTGGGATGAGGTCCCCACCTGCCCCATTTATTTAGGCCGATGGCTGTGCTACTGTAACCAGTGATCACCACAGGGGAGCTTAAAACAATGGAAGTTTATTCTCTTGTGGTTCTGGAGACCAGCATCCCAGGGCCCTTCTCCTTCCTCCCCAAGGCTTCAGGGGAGGACCCTCCTGCCTGGTCCAGCCCCGGGCTCTCCTTGTGGCCATGTCACCCCACTCTCTTCCTCTGTCTTCCCACGGCCTTCTCCCCCGTGTCTCTGTCCTTCTGTCTCTTGTAAGTTACACTGCTCCCTGGATTCGGGCCCACTTGCATAATCCATTACGATCTTGAGGTCTGTAACTTAATTACATCCACCAAGACTCTTTCTCTGAATAAGCTTGCATTCATGAACTTGGATCTACTTTTTGGGAACCACCATGCAGCTTGTGACAGGGAGGTTTGAGAGGCTAGGGGTGTCCAGGGATGGTGGGGAGGCTGGGACACGGCACAGGCTTCAGTGAAGAGACTCGCGTGAATCTGGACACAGAGCTGCCGGGTCCCCAGTGCCTGCTCGACCTCCTGCAGCTGGCGACTCCTCTGCATGTCAGCTCTGCCGTGGGATGTGGTCAGGTGGCTCTCTGGAGCCGAGCCGTCTGACCCCGGAGCAACCACCCCCCCCCTTTCCTGCCATGTGACTGGTCGGAATTGCGCTGCACCACGGGTGTAATGAAACTCACACTGGATTACAGGACTTCATACGAAAAAAGAATGTGAAAGATCTCACTAAGCATCGTACGTTACATGTGACATTGAAATGGTAATATTCTGGATCGACTGGGTTAAACAAAATATGTTCTTGGGGCACTTGGCTGGCTCAGTCAGTAGAACACGCGACTCTTGATCTCAGGGTGATGAGTTCAAGCCCCGTGTTGAGTGTGGAGCCTACTTTAAGACGCACGTATATATATATATTCGTATTGTGTATGTAACACGTCTGTTAAAATTAAAATGATCTTCACCTGACCTTCTTACTGTTTTAGTACAGCTAACAGAAAACTTAACGTTACATATGGGGCTCACAACCTATTGTGATGGGATAGCATTGCCCGGGGAAAGACTGGATATGCAGCTGTGTGCAGGCAGGTAAGCACGTGTAGGTGTGCAAGTCTGCAGTGTGCAAGCATGTGCGGACGTGCAAGTGCGTGCAGGTGCACTGCGTCAGGTGACTTTCAATCTCCTTCATCGTCAGTTAAAAAAAAATAATTTTAGGGGCGCCTGGGTGGCTCAGTCGGTTAAGCGGCCGACTTCGGCTCAGGTCACGATCTCGCGGTCCGTGAGTTCGAGCCCCGCGTCGGGCTCTGTACTGACAGCTCAGAGCCTGGAGCCTGTTTCAGATTCTGTGTCTCCCTCTCTGTGACCCTCCCCTGTTCATGCTCTGTCTCTCCCTGTCTCAAAAATAAATAAAACGTTAAAAAAAATTGTAGTGGAAATTATACACAAAATTCACTTATTTTAAGGCTAATGCTGAAAGCGAGTAATTGAAATAAATGTCTACATATTGGCTTGTGGGACTCTGAGGTTCCGCTAGCTTCCAGAAAGCAGCAACCAAAGCCAGGCACCTGCCCCCAGGTAGGTAGGAGGAGGGTGGGAGCTATTTTAAAAAAATTCTCTTAGATTTTTTTGTTTTTATTTCACTCTAGTTAGTTAATTAACACACAGGGCAATATTGGTCTCAGGAGTAGAATCCAGCGACTCAAGGGCGGGAGCTTCCTCGGGCCTGGGGGAACTTGCATTTACCAACAAAAAGCACCTCCCTTCCCCCATCTATCAAAACAAATTCCCCTCGTCCACATACAGAGCTTCCCGCCCTTCACTGTCTCATGTTTCATGTGACGGCTCAGCTAAGGGTCACTGGACACTGGGACCTGCTGACAGAAATCTCCCTGGGCGGAACAATGCCAAGAGCCAAGGAAAAGCTCAAAAACATCTTAATCACTACCCCCGGAGAGGGAAGAAAAGCTTTGTGTCTGCAAGGCCAAAAAAAAAAAAAAAAAAAAAGGATCTTAGGAGAAAATGAATAATCAAGAGGAAAAAGTTGCTCTTGAAAATGAAAACGAGGATTTTCCAAATAAATAAGTGAATCCGCAAAGCTGAAAGACAAGGTTTGAGTGATTGCCCAGAAAGTAGGGCAAAAAGATGAAGAGATGGGGCGGAAAAGGGAAAAAAACCAGCCTTTGAGGTCAACCCGATAAAACACGAGTGTAGAGAGTGAGACTCAAGGAAGTGGGGAAGATAATCCAGGAAGGTGTCACAGCCAAAAGCACCCACCATCCCCAAGGCCACACGCCAGAGGGGGCCAGGTCTCTCCTCCAGGGTCAGGACCCCACGGACGATGGAGAAGATGCTGAAGGTGTCCGCAGAGGAAACACCTGGTCACGTGGGAAAGACTGAGACATTCCTCCGGGAACTGAATGCTGGCTGCCAAAAGTACACGAGCACCCCTTGGCATTTCTGAGTAAAAATTATTTTCAGTGTTTATTTATTTTTGAGAGTAAGTTTGAGTAGGGAAGGGGCAGAGAGAGAGGGAGACCGAGGGTCTCAAGCACGGACAGCAGAGAGCCCCATGTCACCAACCGTGAGATCATGATCTGAGCCGAGGTCGGACGCTTCACCCATGGAGCCACCCAGGCGCCCCCAAGTTAGTTTCATTTAAAATTGTTCATCTCGCTCATGGGGCGCCTGGGTGGCTCCGTCGGCGAAGCGTCCGACTTCGGCTCAGGTCATGATCTGGTGGTTTGTGGCTTTGAGCCCCGCATCTGGCTCTGTGCTGATGGCTCGGAGCCTGCAGCCTGCTTCGGATTCTGTGTCTCCCTCTCTCCCTGCCCTTCCCCCACTCGCTCTTTCTCTCTCTCTCTCAAAGATAAATGTTAAAAAATTAAAAAAAAATTTCATCTCGCTCCAATGTGAAGTGGCCCAAAGGCATTTTTCAAATACGTATAGGCTTAAGTTTATCTTCTGCGCACCTATGGGCCTCATAGGCTTGGGGAAAACACGGGGATGGAAGTTGAATGAAGTTGCTGTAGGAACCCGAGAGTGAGGCTCTCATCCAGAAGCGGACTGGGAGGAATTCCCCGAGTCCCAGGAAGACATCGTCCTGGACTCCTCGCACCTGTCACAGCCCACACCCCCTCCACCGGCTCCGCTCCTGCAGAAGCATCCCAGGCCAGCCGTCCTCACCGCCAGGCCCATACCTGCGCAGCACGAGCCTCGCACCTGCGACCCTGCGACCGCCGCTGCCCCCTACCGGCCGTTCTCCTGCCTGCACCCAGGGCGAACCTTCCAAAAGGAGACTCCTTCACAGCCTGCTTAAACTTTCTTATCTCTCTTTGCCGACGGACATTATCGCTCCTGTATCTCATTGTGCTCCTGATTTGTTTTTAACTAAAAAAAAAAAAAAAAAGTTTATTTATTTTTGAGGGAGAGAGAGAGAGAGCGCGCTCAGGGTGGGGGCAGAGAGCGGAGGACAGAGGATCCAAAAGCGGGCTTTGCATTGACAGGCTGACAGCAGCAAGCCGGACGCGGGGCTCGAACTCACGGACCGGGAGATCATGCCCTGAGCCCAAGTCGACGCTCAACCGACGGAGCCACCCAGGCGCCCCAGCTTGTGCCCCTGATTTGTGAGCGGGCACTTTATTTTCTTCATTCTCTGTCCTGGAAGAGTGCTTGCTGTACGCAGTAGGCACTTAATTTGTGCATGCTGAATGAATACACCCTTCCCGGACTCCCTCGCAAGGGCAGTCGAGGCTGAAGCGGCTCCTCCCCTGTGAGGTCTTTCCAGATCGCCCACGGCACTGCCCACCGCCCGTTCGTCAGGACGGAGGGCAGCCCTTGGAACGTGACCACCGAGGAAGTGGATTTCGGCCAATTTACAGGGCCACCTGCGGCTGGCGGCCCCCGCGCGGAACCGTGCGGCGCCCACCCCTGTTGGGCCGCCCCTCGGGACCCGAAACCACTCGAGCCCTCGCTGCTTTCAGCCGGCGGCCGCGGCTCAGGGACCCGGAGTTGGCCGGGAGCGCGCTCGGCGCTCAGCGGGTGTCTGCGGAGGCGCGCGCCCTCGCCCCCGCCCACCAGGGCCCCGCCCCGCCCGGCGCAGGCGCAGAAGCGGCCGCTCGCCCACGCTTCTTCCGGCTTCCCCAGCCTCGCGGCGGATTCGTCGCGATCGGCCCGCGGGACCGGCCTTGCAGGCTCGAAAAATTCAGCAGCAGCTCTGCCAGCGCGCGGGGAGCTCGTGCTCCGCGCTCTCAGTCTCTAATCCGCGAACCGCTTGCGGAACTGGGCCTCGGCGACCGTGGCGAATCGGCGCGGGGCGGCAGCGGCGGGGCGGGCCTTGAGCACACCCTGGAGACTCCGAGATCGAGCGGGTGCGCGCTTCCCCGAGACACTCTCCCGCCCCGGAGACCCCGTGCGCTCCCCGAGACCCGGGCCCACCCTGAGACCCCCCGTCCGTCCCCAGGCCCGTGCGCGCCCCGACACCCCGTCTACCCTTAAGACCCTCGCCCACCCCGAGATCCCTTCCCGCCCCGGAGACCCAAGCGCTCCCCGAGACTCGCCCCCCCCCGCTTCGCGGACCCCTGCTCGCCGCGCCGTGACTTGGGCGCGGTGACGTGGGCTCCCGGCACAGCTGTGAAGGGGGGTGTGGTACTGGCGGGTCGCTGGCGTGTTAGCTGGCCACTGGAGCCCGCTTAGACCCGGCTGGGTGAGGAGGCCCTAGGCTGTTGGGGACCCTCCTTGGTCCCCTGAGGCAGGCTTATCTAGGGCTGGGTCACTGGTGATGGACAGGTGCCTGCGTATTGGCACTCAATGCTGCAGGGGCGCCTGACCCGAAATGCTACCTACAGATGGGATGGTTTCTGGGAAAGAAGGGGGTTTGGCAGGCGGACAGTCTGTTAGACGGACGGTCAGGCAGTCAGAAATGCTGCAACGCAGGTAGCCCAGGGTCTCAAGCTCAGCACTGTTAGCATTTGGGTTTGGATCACCCTCTGTCGTGGGTGCTGTCCTGCACACGTGGGCTGTGTAACCAGCATCCCCGGCGTCTGCCACCCGCTCACGAGATGCCAACAGCACCCCCACTTGTGGCCCTGGGGCACAGTGACCCTACCGTAGAGGGCATCATGGAGGCCCCAGCTATGACACAGACTCTTGGTAGGAATGGTGACGGATGCCGGAGGGGAGGATACTGCTGGGTGACAGCAGGGGTGAGGAGAGATGGGTCCCCAGAAGCTTAACGAGAGGGGCCAGAGGGTCTGAGCGTATGTGAGATGTGACTGGTGCAGATGCCAGGGGCTCCTCGGCCTTCTCATGTGCTTCTCTACGCCCCAGGATGGACCCAGCGCGCTCTGCAGTCCGGCTGACCGTGCGGGAAGCGATTCACACCCTTTCCTCTTGTGAGGATGGCGGCCGCGTCCTCTCCACCATGGGGTCCCTGAGGCGGTATCTCAGCGGAGCGGAGAACCCAGCCCTTCCCGGGGAGCAGGAGGAGTTCGCCAGGGTGCACTTTTCCGCCCTCCTCAGGTGTCTAGTGGGCAGGCTGAGCCCAGGCTGGCTGGGGCTTCTGCCCGACGGCCAGGTGGAGGAGCTGTGGGCCAGCTTCTTCCTGGAGGGCCCGGCTGACCAGGCCTTCCTGGTGCTGATGGAGTCCATCGAGGGTGCCGCCGGGTGAGTGGGGGGGGGGGGGCCCGATTCCGGGGCACTTGTAACGTCTGAGGCAGGGGCATGGCCGGAAGGGTTGCGAACCAGCAGGTTCTGTGAGAATTTGGTGTCCTGAAAGGTGCGGGAGGAGCAGAGCCCCCGGACACCGAAAGCAGTTTGTTAACCTCCCTTGCGACGAAGAGGCTCTTGCAGCAGTAGGTCCCGCCGTGTTGGTGAAGGGAGGGGGCAGGAGCGTCCCCATCCCGGTGGCCTCGGCAGCGGGTGAGCTCGGGGCTGAGGTGACCTAGGTAGGCAGTGGGCCTCGCCAGCGTCCGCGGGCCCTTGGCCTCACTCGTGGGTGTCAGCTCTGCAGTGAGGCCCCCGGGCGCTCCGGCAAACTCCTGGGGGGGGGGGGCCAGGGAGGACTTGCTCAAGGCGGTTCCCAGACTCAGGTGTCAGAGCATGGCACGGGCCTGTGGGGACGCGGCCTTCGTGCGGTGGCGAAGCTGGGTTTGAGCGGTTCCGGAGATAAGCGGCAAGCGCCCTGTGGCGCGGAGCAGGAGAGGAGGTGGCGTCGGTGACTCCATGGGGCCCGGCGGGCGCTCACGCCGCACCACTGGCTGG